CATCCCTGTACCCAAGGGAGCATGACATTAAATAGCAAAATTAAATTAAATCAGATTAATGTAAATAAATGAACAATATTAAATACACATTGAATAAAACACCATGCCAGATCAAGAGAGAAACCACAAAAGAAAAATATAAATATAAAAAATATGTAAAAAATATAAAAATATTTTAGTTTTTTTAAACAATTATTTTATTTTATTTTATTTTTAAAGATTTATTTATATTCGAGAGTGTGTTTGAGAGGAGGGGCAGAGGAAGAGGTGGAGAGAGAGAGGCAAACTCCCCATAGATCGTGGAACCATCCATCTCCATCTGGAAACCCTGAGACCGTGACCTGAGACGAAATCAAGAGCTGGAGGTTTAACTGCCTGAGCCACCCAGGCACCCCTGGTATTTTCATATCTTTAATCATACTTTCCCTGCTTTTTGAATGGGTACCATGCATTTTCATTTTGCAAAGGGCCTCACAAATTATGTAGCTGATCCTGTTAATAATTGTGTATTAAGTTAATAGTTTGGATCTTGGAAATCAAAATGTTTAGGTCTCAAAGGAATAAAGCACGAAGATCCAGAAATAGCATCTTGGACTGGACGATTTTCCTTCAGATGATATTCCCCAGGAACAACAGATGAGAAGCATTAAACACTCAAGAACTCTCAACAATCAAAGCTAGAATGGGCCATCTACTGATGATCTGAGTGAAATCTCTCACATGATAACTGTGGCTTCCATAGGCAAACTGACCAGTAGACATTTATTATTTAGCCAATAAGGTCTTCAGGAGTCAATATGATTGCTTTTGGGGATAGGCATGTGATTTTCTAGCTTGGACCCATTTCCTGTGTCGCTCCATTATCTCACCTTTGATGGCGTCTCCTATAATCTCACACTCATGCATATGAAGCCCGGCCCTAGAACGTTTGTGTGTTTTATTCCTGTTTGCTGAATCACATTTAGAAGGATCCATCATGCTTCTTTCAGGGCTGTAATTCTATGAATCTGATACCAAAGAGAGTTCACAAACCCCAAGAGGTATCTGAGGGAAGTAATTATTTATTACAGGGTGCGATATTTTTACATTCCCTCTTTACTACTGAACTACGGACTTTATTTAAGGACACATGTATTAGTCATGGTAGTCTAACTCCTGAAACAAACAAACCTCAACTCTCACAGTGGCTTAAAATAATAAGGCTAGGTTTTTTGCCCTCATGTCCATCCGGTCCAGTGGAAGTTAGTTGGGGATGATTTATACAGTCATTCAGGGTCCCAGGTTCTTCCATCCTGTGATTTCCTCAGCCCCTACATCCTCTGAATCTTCTAGTAGTTCATTAGCATTTGGCTGACAGATGAGGAAAAACAGAACCCATTAGGGGATTGTGGGAGATTTTTTAGGGGTCAGGCCAGGAAGTGATATACATCACTTCCACCCACGTTCTACTGCCCTAGACTGTTCCCTTGGTTCTACTTACCTTCGGGGAAGGTTGCCAGGCCTTAGGGATTTCCATTCTGGTGAAGTCCTTTCTGAAATTCAGGTAGGCATGGGGTTTAAATTCAGGGAATGATCGGCTAATGGTCTGTTTTTGAGCCTGTCATCTACATTTGGACTTTGCCCTCCCCTAAGTTTCAATCCCCTTCTGCAACCTTGGCCGCTTTGTAATGTTCTCTTAGCCTATTTTCATTCAGCTGTGTGCCTAGAACAAGAAGGAAGTAGATTTCACAGAGATTGGTTTTGTTGTTACTGTGAGGATCGTGTGGTGTTTTCATTATATATATGCTGGCTGGCACTAGGAGGTATTCAAAAGCTGTTTTCCAAATGAAGACATAAATGAAGTCTTTTGCTCCCACTGGGATGGGGCGGACCGTGGGAGCAAAAAATTCTGACCTGCTTAGATTTTTTTTTTTTAAGATTTTATTTATTTATTTGACAGAGATCACAAGTAGGCAGAGAGGCAGGCAGAGAGAGAGGGGGAAGCAGGCTCCCCGCTGGGCAGAGAGCCCGATGCGGGGCTCCATCCCAGGACCCCGGGATCATGACCTGAGCTGAAGGCAGAGGCTTTAACCCACTGAGCCACCCAGGCACCCCTGACCTGCTTAGATTTACAATGAGAGGAGAAGTGTTATGTAGGAAAGTAGGAAAAAAAAAAAAAAAAGAATTCTAGGAGTTGACTGGAATTACTGGTTTGTTGTTTATCCTCTTTGATCCAGTGACTAAGTAGCTAATGTCATATTCAAACTCAATCTTCTCTATCCCATTTACTCTTCTTTTAGCAATTTGCTTTGTCCCCTGTTAGACTCCTTTCTTCTCATATTCGTCCATTCTCCAAAGACTGTGCCAAAGGTTTTCCAAATTCTGATCCTGCTCTTTCTGTGGTGTGATCAATTGCCTTAAAAACATCCTGCAACACATTAATGGCTCAGCAGAGCATAATAAACTTCAACTTGGCTTTAGGACAAAAGAAATGCCACACAGACGTAGACTTCAATGATGCGTCTTCCATAAAATAAGCTGTCCCCAAAATGGGGAGAACAGAAATGTAGTGCCCATTATCATAACAGCAGATATTCCTCTCCGCCCACAAACTCGAGTATGCCAGAATTATTCCCTTGGCATTTTCTCATTTCCTTTAAATCAACATCGTTTTTTCCCTAAGCTCCCATCCCACCTGTCTGGTGCAGAGTTTCATTTTAGACATTATTGGAGGCTGAATCTGCCCAGAATCTGGATTAGAGTCCAGAATGGGGAGAAGGTCCTTCAATCTCTAGTTTGCCCCAGTTCCTCCTGAGTCCTGCGTTGCCCAAACCAGAGTCCAGATGTTCTGGCTTCACTGACATGCCTGCACTCAGTACCTCAGTGGTCCAGCATCCCAGAAATACCACGTGACCATCCTGTGTGAGCCCCTGTCTACGTGGAGGTATTCAGGGAGTTGAGATTGGAAGTTAACGGTGGAAAAGAATACAATCAATGATTATGAGTACAGTCTGGTGTCACTCCCTTGATTACTGCTAAGAAACTGTCACTGTTACCCAGATTACCATCACGACATCAGTGCAAATGTCAACATAGTGACTATCAATGGGAAGACCTCAGCTATCTTGCTAAGGGGTATCTTGTAGAGAAACAAATTCCATGGAGTCTAAGAATCTAAGTTCACACCATGGTAAGTGTTAGGGTCCGTGATCAAAGGAGCGAGACTGATACAAAGTGAAGGTCAAACAAAGCTTTATTTCACGCCAAGCATCAGAAACCAAACTAACTGGTAATGGCTGTCTCTTACAAAAAGGTGACGACAACGACCCCGGCAAGGCCGCTCCCAATGTGGCCGCTCTGGACGAGGCCGTTCCCTGACGGGGCTGCTCCAGACGAGGCCTCTCCCCAGACGATGCTGCTCCTGACTAGGCCGCTCACCGAGGAGGCCTCACGTCGAAGAAGCCGCTCCCGGAATGAAGCTGCTCCCCGGAATGACGCTGCTCCCGCAAGGCCGCTTGGCGAGGCCGTGGCTTGGGGCAGCAGGGCCGCTGGCGGCTCTCACGGCTCTGACAGCTCTGATGGCTCTGACAGTAAGGAGTCTGAAAATAAGTTATATATGATGTTAAAGCAGAGAAACCCAAAGCTGAGCAGGATGGGGTAAGTTCAAGACCAATACATAAGAACAAACCTAAAGAACATTTGACCCAACATCCAAACCTGGATTCAATACCCCCACTTGCTTTTCTGTTCTATTTCATTCATCTGTTAGAAGAATTATAATTATGTAGTTATATTACATTATTTTTTCCTAATCTAATTAGAGTTGTCAATCTAAACTTGAAAGTAGCCAGAATAGACTCCGTAAGTTCAGACATTACTTTCTTTGCCCACAAAATAAGTATGGCCATTTCACAAAGAATTAAACTTGAGTTTCTCAAGGATGTTGGATCTCAATCATTACCATATATTGTGTAAAAGTCCCACTAAGAAATTAGATTTCACCTCCCGGATCACTTAGAAAGAATAATAATAACACAACCTCATGTATGTAGCAAAGCAACTATACATCAGCCAGTGTGATCATCGTCCCAGTTCAGTGTAATAGTGATAGAGGAGTTTATTATTAATCCCATTATGCAGAAGGGAACACTGAGAAATTAGGTGATTTGCCCATGGTCATATATTTATTAAGTGGAAGAAATGGGACCATAACTCAAGCTATTGTCTAAAAGCCTTTAATCCTTTCTGTTCTCTGTTTATGTACATTTTGACTCTGTTAAATTATATTGTTTTTATTTTCCCATTAGCTCAAGGACAACATCTTAGTGGGACATCTGGATTTAATATTCTTTTCACAAACTCTTCAGAGTCCATTCATTTGAATGAAGGGCTTTTGTCAACAGTTAACCCTTCAGACCGCCTCTCAGAAGAGCAAAAACAAGACAGTACAGATTTTGAACTATATTTTATAGTAGCCAGGGAATAGATTTTACTTTCTAATTCAGTTGAATGAATTATTTACAATTCCTTTATCTGTCTTTAAGCACCAGATATTTCCCAAATCCAGAAAAGAGAAGGGGTCAGTCACTGGATTGTTTGTTTATGTCATAATCCTGATGAGGCATAGTTAGAATACAGAAGATTTAGGAAGTCTGAGATTCCAGCATAATTGCAGGGCGGGCAAAGGCCTGAAGTCTGAGCATAGTAGGTAGGTCAAGGGAATATCGGTCTTCTGAAGAGAGTGAGAGCTGAGAGGTAACACATGAATTCTAAGGTAGGTCTACAAATAGGCCCTGTTCACAGGGGATGGGACAGCAAGATTGGTAGCACAATAGGAAAAGGGCTCAAGCCAAGATCTCTGCCATGAGCCCCTTATATTCTTCTTCTTTTTTTCAAAGATTTTATTTATTTGACAGACAGAGATCACAAATAGGCAGAGAGGCAGGTCGGGGGATGGGGGGTAGCAAGCTTCCCGCTGAGTGGAGAGCCCGATGTGGGGCTCTATCCCTGGACCTTGAGATCATGACCTGGGCCAAAGACAGGCCCAGGCGCCCCGGCCCCTTATATTCTCTTAGGGAAGATATGACATAGCTGTGGGGTATTCGAACCAGGATTATGACCTAAGCAATCCAGCTCCAGAATCCCTAGGCACTTAAGCCCAACACATAACTGGTAAGGACATTTAGAGAAGTGCCCATTGAGTATAACATGGGAATGGAAGAGGCGAGACAAGCAGATGCTACTCTGCCTGGAGGGAATAAGGAGAGCTTCAGAGAATAAGGAAGCTTCATGAAGACGTGCAGCTGTAGGGCTGGACACTGGAGAACTGTGTAAAGGAGCTTACACTTTATCCTGAGGAGAAAAATTCTTGTGTGGAGGTAAAAATTACTTGCCCATATGTTTCTGTGCCTCAGTGTCTGAATTTACTTCATATTTGGTCCCCTATGACTGTATGGGTGAGTGGGGCCTGGACCTGTTTGACCAGGAACAAATCTGCAAATGGCTCACCAACTTGGAATGCTTTCAGAATCCCATCCCCCAAGAGGAAGCACATTTAGAGTCATTCAGTGGGAAACCCAAAGGACTGTCAGTGAATTCTGGAGGGAGGCAAATGAAGTCATCAACACTTGTGATAAATTTACAGTCAGAACCAAAGAGCCAGTTGCTTGAGAACGGAGTTGGATGAGTTGAAGTTAGGCTTTGTGAATTTAGATTTGTTGAGTTAAAAAAACCAAATACCCATGTATGGCCAGATTCTGCAACTAGTTTCTATTTGCTCGTTTTGCACATACTGGTTACCTTATAAAACCTGATTAGCCCACCCTAACGGTTTTTGATGGCCCTAATTGTTTTTCTCCAGATGTGTAGCAGTTTCTGTCTCATCTACAGAGAGGAGCACCAATCTACCAAAATTTTCTCATTTGACAACCAGGGAGCCACTTCAATGCACAAGGACTCGGCCACATGCAAAGACCAAGTGCCTGACCTCCAGTCGGGGCAAACCAAGGAGGGCGGTCACTATGGAAACCACAGTTAAAAGTGATTCGGAGGTTTACTTCAGAATTTCAGCACACACTTCCCTTCTTACTGTAAGAGAAGCCTGTCATCTGGCACTATGTGACGCATTCCTTCAAACAATAAGCAAACAGAGGCCAGGGCCCAGCTCCTGAGCAGTTTTCTCCCTCCTCTGATGGCTAGAACTGTAATTTATTTGTAATCCTGGTGGTTTCAGGATCTCTGCCACCTCTGTGTCCACAGAGTTTCAGGGAGGTTGGAGGGGTGCTGGTTTGAGACTCGTGAAACCTGGATTTGATTCCCAGCTCCACCACTTACCATCTGTGTAAACATGGCAAATTCTTTACCTCTTGAAACCTCTGTTTACCCAAATATAAAATGGACATTACAAGAGTACCCAATTTATGGAGTATTGTGTGAGGACGTATTAAATAATACGATGCTGATAATAATATGCCACTCAAAATATGCCACTTTGACATAAGGATTATTTTGAGCTAAAGGCAACTGAGAAATGACACAGAACAAAGCACTCTACCTTCCCTCCACCCGCCTCAAAGCAGAGTGTAAATTTCCTTTTGTGCGGGTGTCCCCCCTGCTCCCGATCTCGTGCCAGGAGGGGTAGAATGACTTAATCACCTGAGACAACGCTAGGTTCTTATCAGTCCAGTGATGGCACCGAGAGGAATCTGCAACACAGACCTTACTAAAATGAACAACCCTTATCTTCCATTAGTTTCCTGCATATATTTTAACTTCCCACAAGCTCAAATTCTTTTTTCTTTTGTCATGTCGTATCTCCACATTTATCACTCTTCGTTAAAACGGTCTAAAAGCCTTCCGGTCTGACTGCCTCTTTGGAAATATCACTTCATTTCTGTGAGCGCCCTCCCCCCATATTCATATGAAATAACCCTTTCTCCCCAATCTGTCTCTTATCAGTTTATTTTGGGGGGCCTTAGCCACTGAACTTCAGAGGGTAAATGAAAACTGGTTTTTTTCTCCCCAACAGATATCACGGATCAGAAGTTTCCCTGATATCCTCGCACGGTATGTGCTCAGTTGATGCTGGTGGTCTCTTCATGCTCAAGAAATGCAAAACACTGGAAGGTACAAACATTATCCTTGTTTTGTTTCTGCCGAATGCCACTTTGTCCTTTTGGTGGCTCCCAGTGAGCTGCGGCGGCCTGTGACGCAAATTATTATTATCTTTCTCATAACATGACTCCTATTGAACACTTACTGGGAGCTCAGTGTGTGCCGAGCCGCCAGTGTAAGCCAAGCACGACTACCATCCCTGCTTTACAGATGGGGACATCGAGGCTCCGAGTCGCCACATGATGTGGTTACATGGCCTGTGTGGCTCCACGATTATGTGATACTACCTCCCCCCGTATGTGGCTGAAGATGGAGATAAGAAATGATAAGAAAGGAGGTGAAGGAAAAAGATCTTTAGAAATGGTCCCTTATTGGGGTGCCTGGGTGGCTCAGTGGGTTAAAGCCTCTACCCTTGGCTCAGGTCATGATGCCAGGGTCCTGGGATTGAGCCCTGCTCAGCGGGGAGCCTGCTTCCCAGCGGGGAGCCTGCTTCCTCCTCTCTCTCTCTGCCTCCCTCTTTGCCTACTTGTGATCTCTGTCTGTAAAAATAAATAAAATATTAAAAAAAAAAAAAGAAAGAAAGAAATGGTCCCTTATTAAACAGTGCCTTGCACTTGGCCCAGCCTTCAATGTTTGCTCAGTGAATGATTGACTAGAAATAAAATGAAATAAGCAGCCAAGGAGGCCAGTCCTCCTCCTGCCCACAGTGCTTGACCATTTCGAGATTATCAGAAGGGCCCACTGTTCATCCCTCCCAGAACTCTGTCAAGATTCCCCATCCGGGGACGCCTGGGTGGCTCAGTTGGTTAAGCAGCTGCCTTTGGCTCAGGTCATGATCCCAGCGTCCTGGGATCGAGTCCCACATCGGGCTCCTTGCTTGGCGGGGAGTCTGCTTCTCCCTCTGCCTCTGCCTGCCATTCTGTCTGCCTGTGCTCGCTCTCTCTCCCTCTCTCTGACAAATAAATAAAATTAAAAAAAAAAAAAAAAAGATTCCCCATCCGTTTCCCTTTAAGGCCTCCTCTATCGGGTAATCACATCGCATTCCTCTCTGTGTCGCATTATGGTTTACGTTTTTCTCTCCCTCCTCCCCCTGTATAATGTAGATGACAGACCAGCTGGCTGAGGAGATTAAAATCCTTTCCTACCCCTCTCTTAATGCAGCTCTGTGGCTTTGTTCTATTAGCAAGACCGGATGGAGTGTTTAAGAAACAGCAGTGAAATCTCTTGGAAAAAAATGAGATCACTCCTGCCACGGTTCTGCCCCAAGGCATATTTATAAGCGAGTAAGTTCCACGTCATTCCTTTCAAATTCTCTCTTCCATCAGCCAAGCACAGAGCTCTGGAAGCTTAGATTATTTTAAAACTGTTTGAATGTCATTGGCTGACATCAGGCGCTAATTTCTCTGGGCCAAATTGTTCAGGATCAGTCGGATTAAGGACTTCCATTAGCAGTTAAGTAAAGTCTTCTGTGTCCTTGACCCTGTAATTAAGACAGATGAGGCTTTGACCTCAAACTGCATTTCTACATAGTTCAGAATTCAGTCCAGTTGCCTGAGAAACTGCTATAAATATTAATAGAAAACCCCAAAGTTTCTTGTAGTTCTCTAGAGAGCGATTTCAACCAAGATATGGCTTTGCTTATGGTCCACAGGCCTGAGTCAGATCCCCTTCGGGCCACAATTTGGCAAATTACATTCTGGAAAAATATATTGTAGTTTTAGTGAGCTGAGATAGAGGGATCATCCAAAGAGGTAATATGGTCACTCCAGAATGTCCCCAGAGCGGGAAAAGGATGGCCACATGGGCACTGCCTTCCTTAGAACTAGGTCCCCCGTGCTAGGCCCTTCCTCTGGCAAACCTCCCTCCACATAGTGAGGAGCCCATAAAGCCAGAAGACATATCTGTCCTGAAGTCAGCCCCTCACCGTAGATCACCCTCATCATATGGCCTGTAGCAAGGACCAGATCCTGTTTGGACTTCCAACTTGGGTCTGTCCTCCCAAAGGTAACCATTGCCCTTTGCACACCCCTGGGCCTGCGAGACGGCCAAGGAGTGGCTATTCGGCAGGAGGCAGGAACTGGGACAGAACTTGGACTTGAGGGCTGAGGTGTCCTCATGGATGCTCAGGTGGTTCCTGATGTGAAGACTAGAGCTGTCAAGGGGAAGAAGAGGGGAATAAGACACAGGCTTGAGTCTTCCATTTGTACCTTTACCGTCAGCTCTGCAAATGGCGGGAGGAGGCCTGTAGGCAGAAAGGGTGTGAGGAGACTCCCTGAAATGTGCAGGTTAATTAACGTGATTTTGATAGAGCACCATAACATGGCAGCTCTCTGGTGGTCAGCCTCATGCAAACCCACCCCTCAAGGAAGTGGTCGTACAGACCAAAGGCCGGTTCATTGACATCAAGAACCAAAGCGGCCGGGCTGACTGGGATGTTTATGACAGTTGATCAAATATTTGCTCCCTGTAGGAAATCTTACATGGAAAACCTGATTCTAATCAGCCATGTTCTTGGCAAACCAGGAGTCAGAGCAAGGCCTGTAGTTCCAGTTGATATTCTCAGCCGTCTCCAGATTTGGGGTTACACCAGCTGAGTGGGCCCTGTGCTTACAATGTCAGCTTCTAAGAACAAAGCTAAACACTCACTGACAATTTTTTGACCTTTGGATCCTCCGTAGACTACCCCCATTTGGTTTATGGATCACAAATTCTCTCTCTCCGTATACTAATGACGATGACTAGTGACACGTTTCTTTTCCTTTTACACATGATTTGAATGCACTTCTAGACTTTGCTTTTCCTGCTTGGAATTCATGCCTTTTAAAAGTTTCAGAAAGGAAATTTCAGTTCATGTTGTACTGAACTAAATACCAGTGATGAGCGTGGGAGAAAGTTCAGGAGTCTCCACTGGCCACGTACAGATCTCTTCAGTGCTTCCCTTGCCCGGCAGGGACATTAACAGGGGAACTGAAACAGAGAAATTCTCCGATTTTATTAAAATGACTTACCAGCACTTTTCTTTCCACGTCCTTAGCTTATGATCTGCAGTAAATTGCACTGCTTATTATATGTTTGTCTATATCCTGGGTTCGAAACCAAAAATGCAACAGGGATGGTTTTTGAGCTCTCCATCATCCCTTCCCTGCCAGTTCCTCCATTCATCACTGCCTTTCCTATTTTTTTTTTCCGTTAGGATTACTCTTTAACTCCTATCACCCATTTCCCCCATCCCTCCACCCACCTCTCCTATGAGAATCATCAGGGTGTTCTCCATAGTAAAGAGTCTGTTTCTTGCTTTTTCTCTCTCTCTTTCCCTGGGAAAAAAGGCTTTAAAAGAATCAGAGAGGATTCAGTGAAAAATCCAGAGAGGATCCATGTGCGCGCGCGTCTGTGTACTCCGTACTTCCGAGGAGGCGTGAAAGCGCGTGATGGCCACGTCCGGTTGCACAGGTGTGGGTAGCTCCGTGCTCAGTACTCCAGGGGTCTGCCCAGAGGCTGGAGTGCAACCACAGGCAGCTGCTTGCCTTTCCGCAACAGCGACACGGGAAGGAGGAGGAGGAAGGCACATTCATTAAGGCACCTGATGGTAAAACACGGCAGAGGGGGAAGGGGTAGATTCCAGGTTTCGTAAGCCAAATAATCCATTTCAGAATGAAATCGATGTTTAAACTGTCCAGACGTCCATGTCATAGTTATGAAGAGAACGGAAAACCCTCATGGTGATTCTAAAGCCAACCCCTGACTTGGTATCCACACCCACATTAGAGTAAGATTTTAGAGCAGGCGCCATCCAAAGATCTCAGAAAATCCTTCCTAAGCGATGCCTTACTCATGATTGCCTCTCGCCTTTATTTCTGTTGTTCTCTGTGCGTGCCATCTCTACATCCCACTTAGGAAACTTGGGCCAGGGTGAGGCCTCACGTTTTGCTGCTCAGTGAGGTTGGGCAGAAGCCAGAGAAAACCGATCTAGAGTAGAGTTCGTAGAGACATCCCTTGACCACTAGTTGGCAAATGCTGGTCATCGACCTAATGAAGTAAGGGAAGAGTGTGCCTGGTGGAAAATGTCCCAAATGCTGTGGGAAACAGAGTGCAGGAAACAGTGACAATAAACATTTACAGAAAAGAGAATCGCACCTCTAAGCTCGGTAGTGAAGGACATTTGCACTCAAAATAATGAAAATGGAACAGAAATTGTTAAAGTGTGGGATGCGGGTCGGTGGAAGGTAGGCTAAATCTTCATTTATCGTAAGATCTAAAATTGATGAACAGTAGCAACATAAGTGTATTCTCTAGAAACATGGGCCTCGTTTAAGAACAAGGAGCTTGAAAGAGCAGAAATTCCTTGCTGCTGGAGAGCGAAATGGATGTGTATGAGAGAACGGTATCCTCAACCGTGAGCTCGTGGGGCCCATTTGACTCCCGAAGTCACATGCATGTATTACTCCGATAAAATAACTTTTTAAAAAAAATGGAATTTTGTCCACTTCTGTAACTCAGTGCATTGGGAAGTCAGTATGACTAATTCCTCATTCCCTATGTAAAGACAAAAGATCACAGCTTCTCCCATCTTGCACATTCCTCAATTTGGAGCCCTTTATCCCAGACAATCCAGAAACACTGTAACTGGGGCAGTGAATTCCCTTGGGCTAGCCTGTCTATGACGGTCTGTTTTCAACCTTTCTGGGTTTTCTGCACACACAGGCTTCACATCCAGGAGCTCCTGTTGAAGGAAGAGTCATTTGATGACCCATTGAAATACTTTGCAATGAGACAAACATTTGCTATCATTTCTTGGGAAAATATACCTCTTACATTGCCATCGATGAGCATAAATTTGCATTCTGAATGAAGAGGGGAACAAAGTAGTGAAATGTTAGGCACGTCTTGGGTCTGTAAAGATGGGGACCAGCCCCCTAGGAGTTTGCACAATTCCTCTTGTGAAGTTATCTGTACTACTTCATTGTTTATTTGCACATACCTGGCTTCGCCCAAGTAAGGAAAGGTTTTTATTTCTTCTGCTTATCCCTCAGATATACACCAGACACCTTACCTGAAATTTGAAGACTGGGGCGAGGCTGCTCCAGACAAAAGTACCAAAGCTCAGAGCCAGAGAGTTCTCTGGACGCAGAGGCTTTGCAGTAGAGAACTGTGTGATGGGGCGGGAGAGTCAGCTGCGGACCGATGCCCCCGGCCCACAGCCCAGGCTAACCAGATTATTACCATCCTTGGTCACGGACATGCTGACTGCACTCACTTCAGCCAGTAAATGCTGGTTCTAAAGCCAACAGTCTCCAGTCTCCGGGTGGGATTGAAAACGTGTGCCTGGGGAGAGCCATCCCAAGCCATGGACTGTGAGAGCACCCCTGACCTGCACGCCTGGGACCCCCGCCAGCCAGTTCTGAGGCACCCGCGGCTCAGCTCAGAGTTCCTTGCCTTCAGGCCACACACTGGGGCCCTCCAGACCAAGAAGACAAATGGAGAAAGAAGACGGTTTGGGGATTACTGCTGCCCCGCCCACCCGTGGAACTGTTCCAGAATATCAAAAACCTGTTGAAAGCCCAGAGTGGCAGTGAGTGCGGTGAGTAACATAATAGAAGAAAAATCAGTGGATCTCCGTCCATCGACTAGTTCATGTCTGCTGCAGAGCCAAAGCTTCATCCTAGTTTGTTAATGAATGTCGAAATCACTTAAGACTTTTGGGCCTCTGTGGCTCTATATTAAAAATAAGGAGGTTGATATGATGCATAATCATGAGGCTAACTGACATCTATTGAGCACTTACTATGTGCCGGGCACGTAGTTAAATATTTTAAATATTAACGTGAGTTAAATATTTTAGTTGTCACAAAAGCCATAATCTCTCCTTTTAAGATACAAGAAAATCAAAGCACAGAGAGGTTGAGTAACTTACTCATTTGGTAGGAGGCAGAACGTGGATTCGAAACTCCAAGTCCCTGTGTTTCCCCATCATGCTTTCGCCGACTTCTTGTGTGTACTCTTGTTCTTGTTGTGTTGTTTCATCAAGAGGAAGATGCGCACTCTCTCATTCCAATGCCGTGTATCTGACATAGATCAGTCCTCTGTGCACCCACCCATACTTGACCTCCAAGCATCACTGAAAAGCTTGTATTTATAGTTCAGGTAGGAGAAGCCAGGAATTTTATACCTACCTGTAGCTAAAGCATGAAGTGGAGAGGGACAGTATGTCGGATGAAGAATCACCAACCAGAACAAGCTAGCAAGCCTCATCAGGAGCAAATGGAACAAGATTCAAGGACGAGGAACACACAGCCATGTGCTGCAGAACCAGCTCTCTGAAAGGGAAAAGTCCTGGTACGTCCTTTCGTAACCCACGTCCTGAGTGGAGGGCTGAGGTGTGCAGGGGGGCCTCAGTCACGTGGGCAGAAACACAGGACTCGGATTCAGATGACTGGGAATCGGTCTTCCTGGTTGCACAAATAAGCCAAATGGGCAGATAAGCCCGTTTTCCTCACGGAACCTGCCTCTGCTTCTGGAAAATGGGAATGTGCCAAGCCCCTCATAGGTCTGTCCTAAGAAGTGAATGGGATGCAGAAAGGATGAATACTGACCACTTACATCGATGTGGTTGGAACTGGAGGGGATTATGCTATAAGTGAAATAAGTCAGTCGGAGAAAGCCAATTACCATATGGTTTCATCATACATGGGACATAATAGCACAGAGGATCATAGGGGAAGGGAGGGAAAACTAAATGGGAAGAAATGAAAGAGGGAAACAAACCATGAGGGACTCTGGACTCCGGGAAACAAACTGAGGGTTTCAGAGGGGAGGGGAATGGGGGATGGGATAATTGGGGGTTGGGCATTAAGGAGGGCACATGTTGTGATGAGCACTGAGTGTTATATGCAACTAATGAATCATTGAACACCACATCAAAAACTGAGGTACTGGGCCGCCTGGGTGCCTCAGTGGGTTAAAGCCTCTGTCTTCAGCTCAGGTTATGATCCCGGGGTCCTGGGATAGAGCCCCGCATTGGGCTCTCTACTCAGCGGGGAACCTGCTTCCCTGCTCTCTCTCTGCCTACTTATGATCTCTCTGTCAAATAAATAAATAAATAAAATCTTAAAAAAAAAAAAAAAACTGAGGTGCTATATGTTGGCTAACTTAAATTAAAAAAAAAAAAAATTGAATGGGATGACACAGGAAAACACTTGGCAAACTGAAGACCTGCTCTTTGGAGAGGGTATGAGGACCAACAGCATCAGCATCACGTAGGAGTTCGTGGAAAGCCAAGTTCTCCGGCCCCACCCCAGACCACCTGAATCAGAACCTGTAGTTCAGTGGGGGCCAGATCCCGAGGGCAGTGGTAGGCACGTGAAGGTCAGAGAAGTCCTGCTTTAGGGCCCTAAACAGATGCAGACTTGGGTTTGAGCTCTGTTTTCCTTCCATATCCTGCCAGGGACAGAGCACATGGCCAAATGCACAGGACTGGGCTTCTTAAAGTTTCTCCCTCTCCTTCCCTGGTGCTGCTGAACTGAGCAGGGCTGACGGGGCGGGTTATTGCCAGGGGGTGGTTAGTTCTCTCTGCTTGGGAACAGACCACTGGAGAGAGGCTCTGCCTTATATAATCCTGGGCTATTTTTGAGGTGGGAGAACAGATAAAATGCAAACCCACATATATAAAACTGTCTTAGTCCTGGTAAAGTTTGTTAAATATGAGACAATGTCAGTAGCAGCCAAAGTGGCGTTGAAGTGGATCTTGATCCCTCCTGTTCCGAGTCCTTGAGAGTAACAGCTAAAGGAAGCAACTCATAGTGGGCGGCCGCCTTTGAATGAATTTGTCTTTTTTAGATCCCTGTTGGGTGTGAGAGACACATTATAGGTACTTCACAAATCCTGTTAACCTGGGTTAAATACTCTATCAGCTTCCTGTTGAAGGCTCATAAATACAGTTTGGAACCTGCTCAGACACCGCGGGTTAGACAGACAGAATATAAAGACCCCTTGATGTGTGGCTACTGTGGGAGTTCAGGACATGTTACCCCAAATATGGAATCATGAATATTTTATTTTTTTCCTTTTCTATTTTTCTTGAGGTATAATTTTTTTTAATTTAAAAGATTTTATTTATTAGAGAGAGAGAGCACTAGTGGGGGTGGGGAGGCAGAGGGAGAAGCAGACTCCCCGCTAAGAGGGGAACCCAAACTGGGACTCGATCCCAGGACCCCAAGATCATGACCTGAGCTGAAGGCAGACACTTAACCAACTGAGCCACCCAAGGCGCCCCTTTACTGAGGTATAATTGACATATGTTATATTAGTAGCGGCTGTACAACATAATGACACAATGTTCATATATACTGAGCTATGCTCATCACAATAAACCTAGTGAACATCTGTCGCCATATATAGTTACAGAATTTTTTTTCTTGCTATGAGATCTTTTAAGATCTGCTGTCTTAGCCACTTCCAAATATGCAACACAGTATAATTAATCCAGTCACCATGTGGTATGTTACATCTCTATGACTTATTTATTTCACACCTGGAAGTTTGTGTCTTTTGACTCCACCCATTTCACCGAACCTCCCCACCCCGCCCCCGACTCTTGCTACCTCCATCTCCATACTTTAGAAGAAACAGACACCTTTCCTCGTCTCGAAAGAATGGCCACTCTAGGGGATAGGCCTTATCACTCAAACTTGCCCTAGCTATTAGCGGTCTATAAACCTTTTGTGATTGTCCAAGCAGCCAATTTTATTTTATTTTATTATTTTTTTAAAAGATTTTATTTATTTGTCAGAGAGAGAGATAGAGAGCACAAGCAGTAGGAGTGGTAGGCAGAGGGAAAAGCAGGCTCCCCGCTGAGCAGGGAGCCCCACGCAGGGTTCCATCCCAGGACCCTGGGATCGTGACTCGAGCTGAAAGCAGACGCTTAACCGACTGAGCCACCCAGGTGTCCCAACCAATTTTATTTATTTAATTTTTTAAGATGTTATTTATTTGACAGAGAGATCACAAGTAGGCAGAGAGGCAGGCAAAGGGAAAGGAGGAAGCAGGTTCCCGGCTGAGCAGAGAGCCCGATGTGGGGCTCGATCCCAGAACCCTGGGATCATGACCTGAGCCGAAGGCAGAGGCTTTAACCCACCAAGCCACCCAGGCGCCCCCCAATTTTATTTTTAATAACTCCTGGGAGTGGAGGCTGTGCCAGGGCCAGTTAGTGTCACAAGGGAGAGAATCTCAACCAGCACCTTAGATTCAGGCTGATTGGAAGTCAGACCCTTTGGGCTCTTAAAGAATGCAAATATACACCTTCTGCAAGCGTCACCCTTGCTGGCCCTCAGAGCCGGGCGATCTGGAGGTGTCCGGTGTCCCCTTGGCAGCAGTCACAGAAACCCGGGCTCCAGACGTGCAGAAGCTCGTTTCTGACATCTCCGTGGGCCGTAGCCCTGCGGAGGGAGAGCACAGAGATGACGTCCCTCTGCCTACCTTCCCCGAGAGCAGCTCTGGAGCCTCGGAACGTGTGCCGAACCTGAAACCTCCTCCGAAAACTAAAGCTCGGGGACCGGCAAGTCGGTCTCTCCCAGAAAGGCTCAGTTCATTCATCAGCAAATAGGCCTCTTTGCAAAATGATGGAGCGCCTTGGTCGGCGGTGTCTTGCTGTGCCACAGGGGCACGAGCTGATGGCAAACTCTTTCTCTGTTGGCTACTGTCCGGTGCTGCCTGCAAGTATAAGCCAACTGGCCACCAGAGCTGGCAACATGGAGATAGGGGTCCCCTGGCATCAGTCACCAAAATCAGGGCACCAGAGAAGGGTGGAAGCTCTTTTCTGCAACATATAGGGGGAGCTGGGGCAAGGCAGAGGGACAGCGCAAAGATTCTGCTCACCAGCCTCTGTTCCCCAAGAGCCTCTTTAATGCCTGTAAGCGTGCCAAACCAGAATCCTGCTCTTCAGGCCAAAGCTCCCAGAAAAGCAAGTATGCCTCCTTCTCAGACAGACTGGGGTGTGTTTTAGCCCGCTGTCTGCCTAGTGCACTAGGTGTGGGAGTCTGCCGAAAACTGTCTCTCCAATTGTTACAGTCCGTCGGGACCCAGGGACACAAGGCCCCACCCCCACCTCCACCTCCAGATCCAGGCAATCAAAGGACGTCTCCTAAGTGGCAGCCACAAAAACCAGGTCACCAGACAAAAAAACCAAGTCACCGACCTGTGTAGAAGCTCCCCTCTGTGAGACACTGGCACTTGAGTGTGGCAGGGGAGAGCATAAAGATGGCACCTACCAGTGGGAGTGAGGCAGAGAGGAAGTACAAAGATAGCAATCACTGAAGAAAAAAAAAAGAGGAAAATGTAAAGGGTGAAATTTTAAAGATAGTGATTGCCAGTGCTAGCAAGGAAGAGGGAGAGAGCAAGGAAGATGGACCCCACTGGGAGGAGTATTGCCATGGCACCCATGGGAAAGGTAAAAAGGTTGGCACCTGTTGGCTTTAACCAGGTGGAGGGAAAACAGGAAGATGGCATCCAGTAGTTTCTCTCCCTGGAAGGTATCCCTGCAGGCCCCTGCCTCCTTAGCCCAACGCTTCAAAATTAGGAAATGAACTTCTTTCTCATGAAGTTTGGGAACTTTTCAGAGGGCTGTTTTGCACTGGCCCTGGATCGGGTAAGTCGACACACAGTCCCTTTAAGAGAGACAATCTGCCAGAGCCCCCCGGGTCTGGTGGATAGGTGCCCTGATGGTCTTCGAAGCCAGATACTTTGGGGGCTCATCTCTCAGGTGCTGGTGCAAATGTGGGGTATGAACCCTTTGCTCCTTGGGGAGAAGCCCAGGTTTCGAGTTCCCATCCAATTGCGGGTTGCCATCTTGAAGCAGAATCCCTTACCGATGAAGCTGGAGGAGCTGGGGAAACAGCAAAACGGACCCTCTTCCCTTCGCTCTTCTCGTCTGAAACAGGTCATAAAACCCCCATTTGAGAGACATCCTCCCTGTACCTGGAGGAAAGGAGCGTTGTTCTCTCTGAAGAAAAAGTGACACCACTGAGAAGAACCTGAACAAACAGGCAGCACTCGGTTCCCCCTAGTTTACCACACTTCCCTCCTACTTGTTGACCTGTCGTATTTTACATGACTGTCCACTTCCCAGCAAGCGTAGCATAAAAATGCTCGGGTTTATCTGTCTCTTCAGGTCTTCATTTCCTTATGAAGGGTCCCGTGTCCTGTAGAATTTACACCAAATAAATTTGTGTGCTTTGTTCCTATTAATTTGCCTTTGTCAGTTTAATTTTGAGACCCAGCCAGGAACCCTGAGTAGTCTGAGGAAAACATTTTACTACCTTACTCTAGCTCAACTCCAGTTTATGTGCATAGACACACACACACACACACACACACACACACACACACACACCATTGTTCTGTCTTTTTACCACTCCTATCATTTTCTCCATCTTCTAGTCCCCTGGTCAACAATTAATCACACGAGTACATAATTTTAATGACCTGTCAAACATCAGAATGGAAATGGAATGGTGCTATTTGTAAATCACTATTCTCAAAAAAAAAAAATTATTTGCATTTCAAAAGTGATTTAAATAGATGCCCTAAATTTGGTTTGTTTAAAAAACAGTCTGT